GAAAAGGATCTCTTTTTTAAAAATTCTTGTTAAGGGAGTGCCAGTGGTGTCCTTACAAGAGTGGAGTTAGGCCAAAGTTCATATATCTCAGATGGCATTTTTTCTTCTGACGAGTTTTTCAAAAAAAAAAAAGAGTAAAAATGGGATATTATTTTATCAAAAGAATTAGATATCATGATTAAGAAGAGTACTGAGTAGGATATTTTTATACAGCAGTTTCCACAACAGCTCTTCAACAGCCTCATAACAGCCTTCACAACCGCCCCCCCTCTTTTTTTTTTTAAATTTTAAATTTTAATAGAGATATAATTAGAGTGTGATAAATATATAAGAATCGTGGATGAAAAAAATGGCTACCTATTTTAATTGTCCAAGGAGATTGATTTGGAAATATTTGACGTTTTTATTTTAATGAATAAAATTTTCATCAATTGTATACGGTTGGTAGATGTAATTGATAGGTTGCAAATTGATTGACAACTCAATTCAAGAGTGTTCAATTTGAGTTTTAGCTCTATCTAGCCCCGTCTGATCCCCAGTATTCGTGTTATGGATATCAATTTGTTGTGAAAAATATAAGAAATTAAAATTTAATTGTCCAAGGAGATTGATTTGGAAATATTTGATGTTTTTATTTCAATAAATAAAATTTTCATCAATGGTATATAAAGTTGGTAGGTGTAATTGATAGGTTGCGTATTGATTGACAACTCAATTCTAGAGTGTTCAACTTGAGTTTTAGCTCTATCTAGCTCCGTCTAATCCCCATTATGCGTGTTGTGGATATCAATTTGTTGTGAAAAAGATAAGAGATTAAATTTTAATTGTCCGAGGAGATTGATTTTGAAATAATTGATGTTTTTATTTTAATAAATAAAATTTTCATCAATGGTACACATTTGGTAGGTGTAATTGATAGGTTGCGAATTGATTGACAACTCAATTCAAGAATGTTCAACTTGAGTTTTAACTCTCTCTAGCTCCGCTCGACCCCCATTATTTGTGTTGTGTATATCAATTTGTTGTGAAAAAGATAAGAAATTAAGCCACAATAAGAAGTAAAGATAATAAAAATAAAATAATGTGCAGAGAATTAAAATTTTATTATGATATGGAAAAAGAATACAAATATTATGTGTCTAACAACTTCTAATTTAATCTAAATCATAATGAAAAGCCAACTATATATATATAGAACAAATAAGGGATGCTTAAGCCTTTATAGTAGAGTTGTAGATTAAGTAGAACATAAAAAACAGGTGCCATGGATCCGATGTCAGCAATTCTACCCGCTTTTGGGCGCCCCTTCTCCATCCAAAAAACCTTCCAAATGTGTTTTTTTTTTTTTTCATTCCAAAGTCTTTTTCAAGTCCAATACAAATTCATATTCCCATTGGGCTTTCAAATAGAACTCAATTAGAATTCGATAAGTAAACTTGAATATGATTTTACCATTACATTTCAAATAAGATTATAATTAATGTGCACTTTAATTAAAACTATCAATTATTTTCAACAAATAATTCGGGTTACATCCAAATTCTAACAATTTGATGTTATAATTTTTGAAATATGATTTTTTTGGAGAATGTGTGGTTGAAAAATAAGAAAAAAATTTTAGTTTGTTTAATATTATTTTATTGAAGAATGTGTGGTTAAAAAGAAGATAGAGGAAAACGTATAATAAATAATATGTGGGGTATGTTTGCATTTTATAATATTTTTAGCCAGGCGAAGTATGACACAACTAAAATGTGACAAACTCATTACATTCATGCTTCTATTTTTAACAAAACGATTTTATTCTTATTTAAATTTGATGCATCATTTTATTGACCCAAGTAGCGGGTTTTGCTTTATGAGATGTGCTACAAGTACACAAGGGTGTACATAAGGGTGTCCATAATGGACACCTGGCTCCTCCATTGGAGGGAGTGTCGGACCCACCAACACTCCATTCAATGGGAGGGCGCCGAGTGTCCATTATGAACACCCTTATATACACCTTTGTGTACTTCTAGCATTTTTCTTTGATTTATAGATTAAACTATTTGTACACACAAAGTGTACACTTTGATTGTCACTTTACTATGTATCAAAAATTTAGCAGTTGATTGAAATGGTGGTGTCAAGATCATTGTATCAAAATCTGTCAACTCATATTGGTGTAAATCCATGTATCAATATTTATGTATACGTGGCGTACAATGGTATTACGATCTCTAGGCAGACTTATTGTGGGTACAGTTGGATGAAAACAGTGACATGAACTGTAATTAATAGGATACAAAGTGCCAAAACAAATTGATGGCCAACTTTGCTAAAGCAATCAGACTTCTTCGCTAGAATACAAATTGTTGGTTCATCGTACATCTTCGAAAAGACTCTCAAAACTAAAATGACCTCTACTTTAAAAAATCGACCTTTAAATTCATATTTTAAAAATTCTGTAAATTAATTTTTTGAAAAAGAGTGAATATGACATTTTTCAAACCAAATTCACTCACTAAAATTAAATGCATTCAAAATATTTTAATTTTTAATGCTCCATGCATTGACATACGTACAAAGAAAATTAAGAAAAATAATATAACAATTTGGAGGGAAATTGGTAAAAATAAAAGATCATTGGAATCAATAATAAATATACATGGAGAGTAGTAAAATTAAGTATAAGAGATAACGAGGCTGTTAAAGTATTTAAAAATCCTCTCTAAATTGCAAAATATACTTTCTAAAAATAAAGAGTCCTTTGAAAATGTTCTTAATTTAAGTTTTTTGAGTGCAAAGGAGGATGACTAAAACGACTGCCTGAGCCCTCTAAGCCAATTATTCTGCAAATGAGTCGATTTCATCACAATCCCTCGTGACTTTTCAGGTCGAGATGAGAATGGATGGATGCCACAACTTCTAATTGATTTAATTGAATAAATAGAAAGGATGGTAAGAAAAGAATCAATGTTCCAACTTCAATGCATTTTTAATTCAGAATTACAATTAATGTGCAATTAAATAGTTTAATCTTTATTATTTAATAGATTGGTCATGAAATTAATAATCCTAGCTAAAAAGGGATTAAAATCTAAGTCAAACTCCACAACAAATTTTAATCACGCATTTTCTAAGACCACAACAGTGAGTTCAACTATATATTCCATCAACTTTTATCTAAACCATACAGGATATCCACACCTCGGCATTTTTGGGGACATTCGAAGATTTGTGTATATATATATTTTTTCTGATTTCTGATGCATTGCCCCTCCCAATGAGTTTCGAAGATAAAATTTCTATAAGCAAATAAATTGAAATGGGTTATCTAGGAACTCCAAATGATTTTTCGAAACCATCAAAGTTCTATTATTTTTTTGTATGGAAAACACTAGTTGAAGTGAGATTCTTTACAGGCATAAATCAACCATGACCAATACAATAAAAATGTAAAATTCAGACATTTCCCCATTTCATAAGATCTATGTAAAATGAAAGAATCTTGTCCTGAAATTAAACCTTAATTGAAGGCAACAACTTCCTGGAG